AAATAAATGCAGCCTTGATGAGCAGAAGAGACTCCTTTCAAAAGTAATAGAAATCTCACTGATCCCAAACTTTTGAACGGCAGTGTATGTTATGTATGTATGTTTATATAAATTACATTTTTCACAGCGTTACAGTAAGTCATATGGGCCTATTTTATTATTTGTATTTATTTAATTACGATTCCAAGTGAAACATAACATTACGCTTATGAATCACTTGTTTATTTATTTATGAATCTGATCACTTTGACTCTAAATTTGATTTTATTTCATTTAATTATAGATTTATATAAATATTTTATTATAGATCCATGAATGTGTGATGCACAGTCAATATTTCATTGCTTGACTACATTTATGAACTATATTGCTTGCTAAAATAATTGTTTATTATTGATAATGTTGCTATTTATTGAACATGGTTCATCTTGCCACCTTTTTATTAAAGTGATACATTTGTAGAGGCTGTGTTGCACTGGTTTCGTGCAGTTAAAGGTGTTTTAATCCAGTCACCTTTATTTATATGGCGCTTTCTACAGCATAGATTAGTTTGAAAGCAGCTTTACAGTGTTAAACAGGAGAATAGGGATTCAGTGATGCAGCTCTAGAAAGACAATAGTAAACAGTCATTATTTAATGTGGTACAATCACTGTAACTTTACTGCTTTATTAGACTTCAGTTTGTCCAGCTTTAAATCCAGTGATTCATCAGTCAGAGGAGACCAGCCAGGAGAAAATGGCATGTGAGAGCACATCTGTCAGAGGAGACCAGCCAGGAGAAAATGAGGCCCTCTGCTGCCTCGCATGCGTCTGCTCTCTTCTCACCGTTCATCATTCCTGTGGTTTCGTTTGGCTCTGTGCTTGTGACATTTTTTTTTATCCTTCCTTTATATATTAACCTAGTTTGTATTCGTTCAACAGGGCTGTTGTTAATGTCTTTTTTGTTTTTTAAGACCTGCTGACGTTAACCGTTTCACTACTTCTGTGGTCTTTATCGCTTCTTTTTATACTCGTGGTTTTGTGGCAGGGTTATTATAGTTAACTGAACAAATAAAACCATAAAAAAAACATTTTCGGTGCTTGAAATAAAATAAAATAATTTTATTTAAGCTGTTTGCCAAGGCAACATTTCTCATTTTTTAGTTTAACTTGATGTACTAAAGTAACTAAAACCAAAACTGTATAGACATAAAAAAAAACTAATAAAAATGACAAAACAAAATAAAATTTTTAAAACTTTTAAGTGGTAAGGGAAAAAAAAATTAATAAAAATACAACAAAATAAAATGCGCAAAGATATTCATCTGAAATGGTTTAATCAGACTGCATTATATTATATTATATTATTTTGTAATATAAAATATAAATTTGTAATATAGTATATTATATATGCATCTATTTATCCTGTGCAATGAAACCCAGTCGGCTTCAGCTCAAGGAGTCGCTGGCTGTGATTGTAACACTGGTGTTTTTGTTAATTGGACAGCAGTTTGTTCAATTCTGTTTTGGCTTGTAAACGGTGCTTGATCTGTGCAGATTTCTCTCCTGATTCAGACCAGACCACTTTTGAGGATTAGGCCTACTTTTAATTCACTTCAGTTTACTTCATACATTTAATACTGACACAGCACGTGGTGTCTAGAGGCCGCTCTCGTACTGTATAATGACCGCGGACCTTCTCAGATTTTTCTGGTTAAAATTGTAATTTAAATGCCATTTTTAAAACAAATTAACAAAAAAAATTATATAATAATTAGACAAAAATGTATAAGATAAGATAATAAAAAATGCTAATTTTATTTTACAGAAAACTGCAGGGTTACTTGTTAACATACAGGCCTATAACTGTACATCATTTGATACTGTTATGATAAAAATATTTGACAGTAATTTCTTAATTTTTATCAGGAGGTATGTAAACTCAAAAATGGAGTCCATGTCTTTAAAATGAAATATGAGCCTTTTATACGTCCACTGTGGGGAAGGAAAAAAGAAAGAAAGAAAAAAACTCCTGCACACTTCAGTACACTTTAGTTTAGTTTATTTATTTATAAAGCACATTTAAAAACAAAACCAAAGTGCCGTACAACAAATATAAAACAAACTTAAAAGCATACATAATCAAGAAAACAAAAGGACAAATGAAAGATTATACACCCTCAAACAGAATTAAAACATACAGAATAAAAATGAAGAAACTGGAGAAAAACATGGATTATTATATGTTTGCTTCAAATTTCTTTAGAGAGAAGTATTATTTTTCCTATTTATGGCCAAAATAGGACTTGGTGCTAAACTCATGTAATGTCTGTTTCATTCATACTAGACGCCAGAGGGCGCCCTCGTGCAGAAACTCAACATATACATCACAGAAGTAATAGAACTCCTGACATTCCAGGAAATCCCTAATATGGACAAAGACATCCAGCTATCACTGTGACTGAATTAAAAGAAGCTAGAAACGTATGAACTGATTAAACATGAAGACAATGAACCTACGACAATATATGGTTTACCGGTGTTCTTCACGCCATCTCGGGTATTTTCATAATAATGAAGTCAATTTATAATGCAATGCTAATCGACAAAGCCTTTATTACAGTATAAATATATTTTCATTCTGTAATAAGCCACATCAGATCAGAAAATTAACGTTTTAAAACACTCGACTGATGTTCATGTAAAATCATGTTATAATGTTTTCAACAACATGTTTATAACTGCTTCTCATTAAGTTTGAGAGGATGTTTGGAGTGTGTTGCTTAATCAGATAAACGTTATTTAGCGACTCAAACTCGCAGCGCTTGCAGAGATGAGCAGCATTTACTACAGGCGCTGTGCAGATACAGGGCTCCAGACTGCGACCAAATAGTCGCATTTTGCATTTTTCCTGCTGGTGCGACACATTTTTTTTAAAGGTCGCAAAATTTTTATATAATTGTATTTAAAATTAATGCACAGGCGATTTCGTTAATGGCGCATCCAGTCGGTCTCTGTTTTTATGATAAACATCAAACGGTGAACGAAACTGAAAGCATAACGAAACCGCGCTACGCTTCGAGTGTAGAGCCGCGTCCGCATGAGCGTGAAGGTGCACGCAGTAAAAATTACGCGAATATTGAGGAAACGATGGATGGTTTTCAAGCTAAAGTAAAGTAAAAGACCGCTTCTTAAACCAGAGAAGGTGAACATGTTGGTATTCTTGTGGGGAAAAAACATGCAAGCACTGTCACCGACAGCAAGTTTAGTTTGACTTTTCTTTTTGTTTTCATTTTGAAAAGCTTGTTATCTTTGCTGTTTACCTCACGTTACGCTATGGAGGCTCTCTTTTATTTGATTCCTCAGTGTTTGCTAAAAGTTCTGTAATGTATTAGTCTGTATATAATACAGCATGCGGTGTATGCCACGCCTCATCTTATTCGTTTTTGTTAATAAACGTTTTGTAAGATAGTTTGTCATTGTATCTTACGGTTTTATTGTTGTTGTGCTTCTTTAATTAAGAATAACAATGAATCCATCTTTTGTTTTAGTCTCAAAAAGTGAAAGGTGTGTAGATCTTTTCTTGTAAAACGTGACAAGATTGCGAATTCGAAAGTGAAAGCGCATGAAGCCCGGCTTATAACACAGCAAAAGAGGAGCTCCCGTTCACAAAATAATACTACTGATGAAAAAGAACGGGTTGAATGTTAACCTCTTTCGTTTCCATATAACTATAAACTATGATAAAAGTTCATCAGCATGCATTGATTAATCCCATGATGTAGCACTAAATAAATAAATAAATAAAAAACATTGCGACCAAATCATGTGCTCGTGCGACCATCTGAGATAGTTTGTCACAAAAGAGCGACCAGTGGGAAGAATGAGTCTGGAGCCCTGAGATACTTATTTCATTAAAAACCGCAGCCTTTGCGATTCAATAATCACATCAAGCCAAATCGTGACTTCGGTTGGAATCGTTCAGCCCTACTGAAAAACTGTAAGCATGGATTTTTGCCGATAGTTCCAGCAATCAACTATCGGTGCCGATTAATCGGCAAAACCGTTTGTGTGAGTTTGGTTATGTGTATCAGGCAGTGTTATTTTAGTATTATTTATATACGATTAAAGTTTTTATGAATATTTTGAATTAGTTTTTATTTTCATGTTTTTGCAATTGTGTTGTGTTTTTGTCATTATTTGTTTTTGCTTTTTAAAATGTCTATAGGTCAAAGACGAAAAAGGGTTTAAGCATAAAAACATTAAGTGTAATACTGCTTTAAATTGTTGTTGTTTCCCCCCCAACAACTAAAACATTTTCTGTTTAATTTAATTGCAATTTTGTTTTTCTGAGCAAAAAATAAATATCATACATTTTCCTCTGATTTACAGAAGAGACCCACTAAAATGTCATTCAGTGTAACAATGTTGTCAGGCATATTTACAACAAAAATCCATTTATGACATATTAAAAGACTAATTACTTTCACCCCAAATACTAATTAGCTGTAATTTTACATTTTTAATATTTGCCACTATCCTAGGTTTCACCCATTTGTCAGTAAGAATTTTTTACTAATTTAAAACACAATAAAATATAATATACTCTCTTATTCTTTTATATATTTTAATATGTACAAGTCTGAATAAGCATGTTTGAATTTTTAGATAAATATCGTGTTACACTGAATGACAATATAACATTATTTCAACCAAATTTTGACATTTTATTCTCCAAAAACTTATTTGAAACCTTAAAAGTAGACACTTTACTTACATTTAATGTGCTTTCTATGGACATAAAATCTCTTTTAATGCGGACATCTTAATGTCTTTGACCCCTACATAGTTCTTATTCATTTTTATTTGTTTCAGTTATTTTAGTACTTCAAGTTAAACTAAAAGAAACAAAAATGTTTTTAGTTTTTGTTTTAATTTAAATAATACTTGGTTGCATTTGATTTTTCAGAATGGACTGTTTCATAAATAAAGCATGAAAAGTATGAATGTGTTTCGCGCAGGGGCCGATCGTGAGCTCCAGCGCCGCTCATCCTCTGAGGTGGAGCTAAGATGAGCATTACCAGTGATGAAGTCAACTTTCTGGTCTACAGGTATCTGCAGGAGTCAGGTAAACACCCCGCAAAACCACCCCAAACTGCTTTGAGATGAGCTGACGTTCATAAAGGCATGTTTAGACACATTTCCTCATTGGTTGAACTAAAGCCGGTGTCTTTGGCCTTTGTGCTGTAGGTTTCTCTCACTCTGCGTTCACGTTTGGCATCGAGAGCCACATCAGTCAGTCGAACATCAACGGGACTCTGGTGCCTCCTGCTGCCCTCATCTCCCTCCTGCAGAAGGGCCTTCAGTACGTGGAGGCCGAGATCAGCATCAACGAGGTGAGCGTCTCGTCGTCTTCATTAACCATCATTAATTATCTGGATTTTTGCATTAATAACTTTCACCTGCTGTGAGTCATAATAAATAGACATGTTTTTTAGCTTTTTTTTTTTTCTTATTTAAAAAAAAAATCTAAATAATGAAATTCAAAAATAAACAAGGATTTTATTGTTGGCTCAGTCAAGCCACTTTTTTTTATAGATTTTTACTTTCTCTGACAAGAATTTCACTGACCATGAAGCAAAAATAAACAATTTTGCTATTATAGCAACATTGTAAATTTAATCAAGTGTGTCTAAACCAGTGTTTTGTTTTGTTTTTAGTGTCATTGTGATGCTATAATAGTTTTATTCATATTTTAAATTAATTTTTATTTTTTAAATTTTCTCTGTTTATTTAGTTTTATTATTTTGTATATTTATGATATGCTTATTAATTATAAAAATGCTATTATTAGAATAAATAAATTATTAATAAATTATTGTAGTATCATTATTATTATTATTATTATTCACTGTATTATTTTAAAATGTAAAAAAAAAAAAATTTAATATAAATTTTGTTTATTAATTTTATTTTTGGTTTTAGTTATTTTAGTAATCTCGGATGCCCTGGGGGTAAGCAGATAAACATCACATTTTCATTTTTGGGTGAACTATCCCTTTAACTACATTTTAAAGTCACTGAAATGTTTATAATGAAAATGCATTTTTCTAGTTATGCCAAAATCTAAAATATGTTGAGTAAACATGCAGAGAAATTGTAATTTGTGAGCTTTAGTTCATTTTGAAGTGACCACAAACAAGTGAAACAATTCGCTATCAAACCATGAAGAAATCCAAATACTTCCCAAAGGATGTTTTCGCTCTAGATGAGCCATTTCTGCTTGTTTGTGTCGCTTCAGCCTGTGTATTGTGTTTTATTTGACTATAGGATGGCACAGTGTTTGACGGCCGTCCGATAGAGTCTCTGTCGCTCATCGATGCCGTGATGCCAGACGTGGTTCACTCCAGACAGCAGGTGATCAGAGACAAACTCGTCCAGCAGCAGAAAGCCCACATCTCCAACCCAATAACCGCGATGAACGGAGAGGAGAACGGCACCCACGCACTCAGTAAGTCATTGATCTGACACAGAAGCTAACACAGACATACCTCCAATGATCTGTAAGCTGAAGTCAGGACTAGTCTGCATGAGCTGAATAAAGCAAACCAGTGTCTCACCAGTAAAGTTCAGACGGATGATGGTTGTAATGGAGGTCAGGGCTCTAGACTCCCACTGGTCGCTCTTTTGCGACTAACTTTCTCAGATGGTCGCACGAGCACATGATTTGGTCGCAATATTTATTTATTTAGCGCTACATCATGGGATTAATCAATGCATGCTGATGAACTTTTATCATAGTTTATAGTTATATGGAAACGAAAGAGGTTAACATTCAACCCGTTCTTTTTCATCAGTAGTATTATTTTGTGAACGGGAGTCCCTCTTTTGCTGTGTTATAAGCCGGGCTTCATGCGCTTTCACTTTCGAATTCGCGATATTGTCACGTTTTACAAGAAAAGATCTACACACCTTTCACTTTTTGAGACTAAAACAAAAGACGGATTCATTGTTATTCTTAATTAAAGAAGCACAACAACAATAAAACAGTAAGATACAATGACAAACTAGCTTACAAAACATTTATTAACAAAAATGAATAAGATGAGGCATGGCATACACCACATGCTGTATTATATACAGACTAGAGACCAGCGCTGGATGGATTTTTCAGTCCCGCTCCCGCAAGATTCTGTCCCGTGCCCGCCCGCTCCCGCAGAAATATATCTTATCTGGTCCCGCTCCCGCCCACGACATTCATGTTTTGTTCCGCTCCTGCCCGCAAAAGCCCGCATAAAAGTAATCTATGTAGAGTCTGTGATTGGCTACATTGCGCTACCCTTTAAACACGTGTTATAAATAGAAACTATGCCTAGCTTGTGCATATCAATCATTTAATGTTAATATTAGTTGTTCTTTTTGCTTTTGTACAACAGATAAATAACAATTTATATGTTTTAGACACTTTATGTTTAGATCATTTCTATTTTGCGGGAGTCCCGCGAATCATTTTATTCTCCCGCATCCCGCACACACACGAGTCTCTTCCCACCCGCACTCGCCCATCAAAAGTTGTCCCGCGCCGCACCCTGTTGCGTTGGGTCCCGCGGGAGTACCGCGGGAGAGTGCAGGTCTCTAATTCAGACTAATAAATTACAGAACTGATTGGCCATTGTGTTCTAGAAAAAAAAAACAGCTGAGTCTGTGATTGGCTACATTGCGCTACCCTTTAAACACGTGTTATAAATAGAAACTATGCCTAGCTTGTGCATATCAATCATTTAATGTTAATATTAGTTGTTCTTTTTGCTTTTGTACAACAGATAAATAACAATTTATATGTTTTAGACACTTTATATTTAGATAATTTCTATTTTGCGGGAGTCCCGCGAATCATTTTATTCTCCCGCATCCCGCACACACACGAGTCTCTTCCCACCCGCACTCGCCCATCAAAAGTTGTCCCGCGCCGCACCCTGTTGCGTTGGGTCCCGCGGGAGTACCGCGGGAGAGTGCAGGTCTCTAATTCAGACTAATAAATTACAGAACGTTTAGCAAACACTGAGGAATCAAATAAAAAAATTAAATAAAAGAGAGCCTCCATAGCGTAACGTGAGGTAAACAGCAAAGATAACAAGCTTTTCAAAATGAAAACAAAAAGAAAAGTAAAACTAAACTTGTTGTAGGTGACAGTGCTTGCATGTTTTTTTGTCCCACAAGAATACCAACATGTTCACCTTTGGTTTAAGAAGCGGCCTTTTACTTTACTTTAGCTTGAAAACAATCCATCGTTTCCTCAATATTCGCGTCATTTTTTCTGCGCGCAGCTTCGCGCTCGTGCTGATGCTGATGCGGCGAGTATAAACCAGGCTCTACACTTGAAGCGTAGCGCGGTTCAAACGAGTAGCGCTGTTTCGTTATGCTTTCAGCTTCGTTTGCCGTTTTATGTTTCTCATATGCAACAGAAATGGCAGCGCTTATGAGTTGAACAACGCGCCACAAAAATCTAGTCCCATCGGCAGAAAAAAACCATTTGGTCGCAGTCTGGAGCCTTGGAGGTAAAGACGATTACAGTGACATACAGGAGTCGTACATTATTAGACATGCGAGTGTGTTATTATTAGTGTGCGAATAAACAGACCGTGTGTGTGTGCTCTCTGAGCTCATTTCAGTATGCAGGGCTCCAGACGGCGCATTTGCGACCAAATATATGAATTTGCGAGTGAAGTTTTTGCTGAGATCACAACTGGCGACTATATAAATTTACATGTTATGATATTTTTTCCTGATTGTTTTGCGATCACATCTTTTGTGATGTTGACGTAATAAACTAAGATGATGCGCATCGAAGTTTTAGTATAATAATCGCAATAAACTTTGTGCTCTGTTACATTTTAACAAAGTATCAGCTTTAAAATCCTGTTAAATTCATAACGATATTCAAACAATAAATACCGGTTTTGGCGCTCTTTAATAATGTAGCGTGAGCGATCGCTGTAGCGCCTCAGTTCAATCCGTTAGATCTCTCTCTTTCTACTACAGTATGAAATAAACATGAATGCACATCAAAAGCTATTTTATAAGATACAGTACAGCTTACTGAAATGTCATGTAATCGCTCATTCAGTGTTTCAAACTGCGGAAAACACTTGTAAACAATATATTTAGCTACCTCAGAATAACCATTCAGCATCCATTAGCTCATTAATCAGCTAAAAATAACTATAAAGAGGAGCATTTTGCTAAATACATGCGCTATATTGCATATTTTTACTTAACCTGTTTTCTACATAAGAAAGAATGCAAGGAGCTAAAGATAAAATTCAACACGTCCAATATAATATAAATGTTACTAATGAAGTAAAACAGACTGGATGTGCAAGACAACATTTATAGGCTGCATACTACACTCAATAACCAAATGATGCAGATATAGTTATGGTCTGTGATATCGGCACAGATTCTGTGTAATAATCAACTCTTTGTGACTGAATATAGTTCTCAAGTTGGAAAAGACGTTCAGTTACCACTTGAAGTGAACCTTAGTGTTTTCATTTGCTTTTTTTAACTTGTGCTTTGCCTTGTTTAATAATTCTGAATGGATCTGTATATATCTATATATTGGCGTGTCCGTGTGGTCCTGTTTGGTATTGCAGCTTGACTTGTCGTTATTTATCCACCTTATTTTTCTCGTAAGAACTGGCGCGGCCTTTTGTAAATTTAATGTGTTTGGCTTCCGGTCTCATCCGCTTCTAGCTGTTTTTATCTGTACTAAATAGCTCACAATTTGGTGCATCTCACCGTATTATTTTAATGTCTTAATTACGAAGACACTGGTTTGTAGTGCAAACAGTTTTACCGTTTACTGCATGTTGTTATTCTTCTGGTTATTTCCCCACAGCGGAAGTCTCGCACATTCACAGAAAACGGCTTACTTCTGCTTTGAAAAATAAGGTGGATATATGTGTAGAAAATGCTCTAAACAAATGCGGCATTTATTCTTTCCTCACAGTTTTTTTTAACAAGAATTGCGACTTTGTCTTGCTATTGCGAGTTTGTATCATATGCAATTCTGAGGAAAAAAAGTCAGAATTGTGAGATTAAAAAGTCGCAGTTACCTTTTTTATATTTTTATATAAATATATCACACTATAGGTAGGGCTGTCACGATTATGAAATTTGGCTGACGATTAATTGTTTTAAAGAGTTTTAGGGCTTTGACGATTATGCCGATTATCCCGATTAATTGTCTGTTTTTATGGCTTTCATTATATAATTGATTAATTTAAGGGTTCAGTAAATAATTATGATGTTGTCTTTGAATCTTTTTGAGTTATTATTTTGCAGTGTAAGATTACATAGAGTATTCTAAATTCTAAGAATCGGCCGATACCGATCCAACACCAGCATGCAAGCACTGTCACCGTTAGTTTTACTTTTCTTTTTGTTTTCATTTTTGAAAAACGTATCTTTGCTGTTTACCACACATTACGCTATGGAGGCTCTCTTTTATTTATTTATTTGATTCCTCAGTGTTTGCTAAACATTCTGTAATTTATTAGTTGGTATATAATACAGCATGCGGTGTATGCCACGCCTCATCTTATTCGTTTTTGTTAAACATTTTGTAAGCTAGTTTGTCATTGTATCTTGATTTATTGTTGTTGTGCTAGAGCGACCAGTGGGAAGAATGAGTCTGGAGCCCTGTATAGGCTATACAGTGCATGAAAAGCAAACTGGTGCTCTTCTGTTTCTTTTGGTGTATGACTCCCCCTTGTGTTGTATAAAAAGCACAATAATCGCGGTTGTCTGAAACAACCGCGGTTAGATCAAATAATCGCGATTAGACGGTTATTTAATTATCGCGACAGGCCTAACTATAGGGCTGTTACCAATCAAATGAAATCAGTTTCAACAAAAGTAGTGTTTGCAGTGCAGAGGAACAGAATCTGCGTCTGAAGTGGCGTTTAGATTCATTCGCAGACTGTTCAATGCAGGACATGAATGCAGTAAACCTGCAGTTACAAATGCATAAATAATGTTTTGATGTTTAAAAACAAAATGTTGAATACTGATATCTGAAATGTAGAGAGAAGAGAGGGAAATATACTTTAAATATGAACCTAAAATCGCCAGTAGGTGGCGGCAAATCACTGCATGAGTGAGTCATTGAATCGTCCGTTAAACCGATTTGTTCAAACTTTTTTAAATTTCCCCCTTCAGCTTAATGCTTTATTTTCGACTCGTCACGAAAGTGTATGTCATGCATGCTTTTTAAAGTTTTGCCAATTTAAGCATTCAAGAAATCGCTAAATTCGGTCCTCCAGCGCTGGTTTCTGATGTATGTATTTGGCTTAAACGGCCAAATACACACAAAATTAAGTCAAAATGCCCGTTGTGGCGAGTGTTAAAATAAAAAGTTTTAAATGAACGTAAATCTGATGTGTGTGTCAAATCTGTGCATTTGTTCTGTTATTAATGTCGATTAAAAAAACGGAAGAAAAATCACTCTGCTCTTGACTGAATAGCTTCATCTTTAATAAGGATTAATCTATAAATACGTGGAAAAACTTGAGATAAATACTGCTCACATTAAGCAAAATGAACAGTCTCACGCAGATGCAAGATGCAGCGTAAAGTTTACATTTTAATGCTTATGCAAACAAAAAGTGCATAGTGCTGCTAATTTTATTTATTGTATTGTTTGTTGGTTTTTCGACGTTAAACAGTAACTTTGTTCTTTTTTCCATAAATTGTTAATAATAAGAATTTCCTGAAAATGTTATGTTCTTTGTGTTGTTTTCATTTTGATAATCCATTGCATATTAAAATCCATTGCATTGTGTTTTTGTGTGGTTTTTGCGATATACTCGATAATGTCAAATTGCATATCGTTAAAACAACAATTCGTAGACAATATATATCGCACGCCCTTGTTAATGCATAGCAGTTGCGTTCTCAGTTCGGTTCTGAAAGGTGCACACACCTGCTAAGAGTTTTCCGGTGTGATTGTAATTGCGAGCTGCATCTCCTCTCGGTCAGATAATCACGTGGAGGTCATGGAGGTGGACTGCGAGGCCCAGATTCCCTCCAGTAAGGCCACGGTGTTGAGGGGTCACGAGTCGGAGGTCTTCATCTGCGCCTGGAACCCTGTCACTGACCTCTTGGCCTCAGGGTGAGTCCAGCTGACCTCTCTGACCTCAAGAAGGATTTCTGATGCTGTTATGAGTCTGTACGACTCGCACTGGAACCATTGATTTTTCTCTATTGTGAAATGGCTTGAACTGCATCAAATGCTTTTCTGAAATAACATGATAGACATAAATGTTGGGGCTCAAATATTCAATAATTATTGTAATATTTTATTTTTCATTAATTTTATTTTTTATTAATTTTGTTATTTTATTTGTATTAATTATATTTTATTAATTTATTTTTTATTAATTATTTTATTCATTTTTTAAATTAATTTTATTTTTTATTCATTTTGATTTTAATTATTTTGTATTAATTTATTTGTATTAATTATATTTTATTTTTTATTAATTTTGTTATTTTATTTTATTTTTATTTTATTCATTTATTTTTATTTATAAATTTTATTATATTTTATTTATTTTTATTAAGGATATTTTTTATTAATTTTGATTTTAAAACATTTTTTTATTTAATATTTTATTGTTTTTAATGTTGTAATATTGTACTATTTTTTTTTTTAAAGCAGCATTTTAAGTACATTATTTTTAAATGTTGATTTATAATTCATAATATAAGTAAAAAAATAAAATAAAAAAAAAGACACTACAAGCAGGACACTGTTTGGTTTTACAGTAGTGGAAAGAAAACAGCCAAAATACACATTTAAGTGTTTATTTTATTGCACTTTGTGTATTTGTGTGTGTGTATGCAAAAATGTGTGCATATTTAATTAGATCTTAAACTTAACATTCCAGAAAACTTGTTATACAAAAAAATGATCAATTCTTAATGTAATCAATCGATCGGGAAATACGGTGATGTTTATTGCATTATTTGTCTGGTTTATCTGGCAGCTCTGGCGACTCGACGGCACGCATATGGAACCTGATTGAGAACAGCAGCAGCGGCTCGACTCAGCTGGTCCTGCGGCACTGCATCCGAGAGGGAGGTCAGGATGTTCCCAGCAACAAAGACGTGACCTCGCTAGACTGGAACGTGAGTGCGCTGCTAAACATTCAATCCGGGGCCGCAAGACGCTTAAAACGACCTAAAACCAGACAAAACAAGCTTTTAAATGAGCTACAACAACTAAAAATCTAGATCTATCTATCTATCCATCCATCCATCCAAATAAAAATCAATAAAACTGGCATAATGTTTCTTATTTTAATTCGTCCCTCAACAACTCTCACTTCTATTTAAGAACCAGGATAGCCTGGAAACATGAATTTTAAAAGTATGAATATGAAATTTAAAAGTGAGATTTCCAGACCTGGAAATTTTTGGAAAATTAATTTAAAAAAATCTTGGAAATTAATAAAATCTTAAGAAATCATGGAAGTTTCAATAATGAATATACATTGCTCTAGTTTTGTCAAGCTTTAAAATATTTTGAATAGAAATCCATGAGAAATTGCCATTACTGAGATATTTAAAAAAAAGTTATCCAAGTGAAAAAAAGTCACATGAATGAATGAATAAATAAATTCATCCCTGAAGATCATTCTGTTCTTTAACTTAACTTTTTAATAGTGCTATAAAAATTTTGGTTCTTCAATCTTCTGAAATGACAGAATTTATACATGAATTTATTTTATATTATATTTATATATTTGTGTTTAGTTTATATATATATATATATATA